ACTTCTCGGGGTGGAGCTTCAGACCTGCGGCAGCCACCCTCTCCAGCACACACCGTAGCGCCCCCAGGGCTGACTGGAAGGAGCTGCCATGGGCCAGGATGTCATCGAGGTATACCAGACACTGCTGTCGGGGGATGCCATCCAGCACCCTGTCCATCAAACGCTCAAAAGTAGCTGGAGCGTTGCACAGGCCAAAGCACAGGACCTTGAACTGCCAGTGTCCTCTGTTAGTGGAGAACGCAGTTTTGGCTCTGGCCTCTGGGGAGAGGGGCACCTGCCAGTAGCCACTGCGGAGGTCTAGTGAGGAGAACCAGGAGGACCCCCCTAACCAGGTCCAGCGACTCATCGATACGTGGTATGGGGTATGAGTCCTTCCTGGTTACCTCATTCAGCCGCCTGTAGTCCGCACAGAACCTCAGCTTGCCCCCCTTCTTCGGAACCATGACGACTGGCGCCGCCCAGGGGCTGTCTGAGGGCTCAATGAAGTCTGCCCGCTGCATCTCCAACACAGCCTTGTCTGCCACCTCCTGGCGTGCCAGCGGGATACGGCGGGGACGCATCTTGATAGGTCGAGCATCACCTGTGTCGATCTCATGCTGCACCAGATGAGTCTGACCCACCTCTTCCTCACTCAGCGCAAAGCTGTCTCTGAATTCAAACAGCAACTGCCTCAACCGTTCCTGCTGCTCGGGGTCAAGACCAACACAGTTCCTCCCCCATATCTCCCTCACTGCAGACAGTGTCCTCTCCCCTCCCATCTGGGGTAGCTGGGCTGGGGGGGCGCGGCCCGGGCTCACAGAGGACTGTGTCGTGGAGGTAGCTGGGGGAATGTAACGCAACGCCGTAGGTGACAGGGGGGCTGGGGAAAAGTCACACCCAGATGTGGGGGAGGGGGGGCAGCCATGAGTCTCTGCTGCTTTAACTGTTGGAGTAAAGGGTTTGTTGGGTTGAGTGAATGTGACATTAGGGGCCATGGTGACCTCCGGCCCTCCCTGGAAGCTCAGTGTGCCCCTATTTAGGTCTAACTGGCAGCCTGTGCTCCTAAGAAAGTCCAACCCCAGGATACAAGGGTCCTGCACAGCCGCCACCCACACAGGATGACGCACAGTCCTGCCCCCTACTGTCAGAGTCATTATTCCCTTCCCTTTCATGGGTGCCAGCTCACCTGTGACTGTGCGGAGCTGCACAGTTGTAGGCTCACACTGAGTCCAACCTGGCACAATATCTGGCCTCACCAGGGTTACTGTGGACCCAGTGTCCACCAGGGCGGAGCAGGGCACCCCCTCCACAGTGACAGGGACATGACAAAAGTCCCCAACACAGGTCCGGCTCACCACAACAACAGGCTCCATCCGCTTGCCCTCGTCTGCTTCTGGGGGAAGTGGAGCATTGCTTCCCCGTCTGTGCCGGTGGGCTCCTCCTGAAGAAGATGGTGGTTGGGATAGAAAGCCAGGGGTCCGCACTACCGTTTCCCTGAGCTCTGGGGGACATGGGGCAATCTCGGCGCAGATGGCCTGGCTGGCCACAACCCCAGCAGACCCTGGGACCAGGGCGTGTGTTTCGTGCCGCCTGTAGCGACACAGCACGAATGAGTTCTGTCATTTCAGCCACCCATGCAGGCTTTTCCGGCTCCGGGCTGCTCTGCCCCCCAGCTCGCACAGAGGGTCTGTCTCCCTGCACCCCCACCAAAGCCCCAGCTGAAGCCCCAGCCCACACCAGCTCCCTCTCCAAAGCCATCTCCAAGGCTACCTGCAATGACTCAGGATGAGCCAGCTGGGTCTGTATGCGCAGCTCCGTAGGAGAGAGCGCCTGTATGAACTGGTCCCGTGCTAGCTCGCTCTGCACGGAGGGGGGCATGTGAGCATATGCCCGCCGAGAGAGGCTCTCAATGTCATTAGCTAGCACCCGTAGAGGCTCTCCAGGCTGCCTGCGTCTATTACTCAGTTCGGAGCGCAGTAGCCCGGGCTGTACACACTGTCCATAGTGCCTCCTCAGTGCTCCCACTAAAGCACCATAATCACGTCTGTCCTCGGGGCTAATCAATATCAAACAGGCCAGAGCTTCATCCGTGAGGCATAAAGCCAACTGCAGTGCCCTATCTTCATCCGACCACCCCCTAAAATGAGCTAACAGTTCAAAATGAGCATGAAAAGCTTCCCAATCCGCCTTACCGGAATACTTCGGGGTCTTAACGGATACGGACGCAGCCGGGAACTGGGCGCCGCCATGTTTGTTTACATCCTGAGCCCCAGATTCCTCGTCCCGCCGCGTCGACGTCACCCCTTCGGTCCGCCCACCAGAATCCGCGCGAAACACAGTCGACGAAGCACTCATGCCCGCTTCAGCCGCCATCACTCTAACGTCCTCCCTCAAGCGGCCTCTGGGCTCCGATGCCCTGGCGATCTCCTCAGCCAGAACCCCCGACGTCCATGCACACGCACCTCCTTGGCCATAATCGTCCCCTACCTCCACCTTCACTTTCGGATTCCCTCGAAGCATCTTCAACCCCCGTTCTCACCTACGGTAGCTAGCCACAGAAGTCAGCTAGCTAGCTGGCTAACTTTTATCAACGTTTTTACTTCTGACACCAATGTCAACAACGTAAAAGTCCAACATCATGTCCCTTTCCTTGTATTTGCATTTGAGAGTGCATGTGCCTTTTACTGGGAGCTGTTCACCACCATAACCAGTCAGTCTGCGCGTGGTGGGCTGTAGCTCACACTCAGATGTCATGCTTCTGTACTTACTCAGAGGAATAATGTTTACTTGTGCACCAGTGTCTAGTTTGAATTTTAGCTCTGTGCCTTGTCTTCCTATCTCAATGTCAGCAAAGGCTTGCTCTGTCTCTGATATCTGACTTTTCTGTGTCACTGAATCAATAAACAGTTCATCAGCATTTGACTCTTTGATTGACATTTCATCTTCACTCACTGTATGTACTGTTTTTCCACGGTAAACTCTGCACACTTTTGCAAAGTGATTCCATTTTCCACATTTAGTACACTGTTTGCCTTTAGCTGGGCAATTCCCCTGTTCGCCATGCACTTTGTATCCACAATATCCACATGTTTTGGGGCGTTTGGAGTCTGTGTCGCTCTGTTTTGGAGTTCTGTCTGTCTCCGTTCTGAAACATGCTCTCTGGGCACTGGAGGTGTGCTTTGATGTCTGCCTGACTGCGTGCACTGCTTGTTCACGTGATGCGCTCGTGCTGCCGCCTGAAATGGTTTTCATCTGAACCTGTGCTAGCTCGTGAGATCTGGCTATGTCGATAGCTTTGTCCAGCGTTAACTCTGATCCAACATTCAAAAGTTTCTCTCTCACTCGCGGTGAGTGTATTCCAAATACAATACGGTCCCTGACCATCTCATCCTTGTTTGCATAATCACAGTCTTTCACAAGCAGACGCAGCTCAGTGACAAACTGTTCAAACGATTCGCTAGCGCCTTGTACTTTCTCATGGAATTTGTACCTAGCGAAAATTGTATTGGTCTTTGGCACAACATATGCTTCAAAACGATCGTAGTATGTTTTCAGTACCTTTGATTCAGCCTCGGTAAGTGTCCATGTGTTGTACATTTCTCTCCCTTTTTCACCGATCCAGAGGAGCAGGTAGCTGCACTTTTCCTCTTCTCCTCTTTCCTTCAGAGGACCCGTGAACATCAGCTCCACATGCTGTTTGAACTTACGCCATGCATCGGGTAGATTTGTAGACCCCCAATCCATTCGAGGTGAAGGAACTCCAGCAAAATCCATCTTTTAGTCCTTTTACTCTGACACCATGTCTTGTTTTGTATGCTTTGTACAAAATAATAAAATGCAGGACGACAGGATATTTATAAACGTAGCTCTTTATTAACTAGCTATAACTGGCATGTCCATGTGTCTCTGGCCATGATCATCTTAGAATGACCTCACCACCTGGGTGGTCTTAACCAATCATAGCACAGTATTGTAATGACCTGACTAGATCATAAAAGAACAACTGTCCAGACAGAGGATTGAGTTTACGAATGGACGGTTTATTAAACCAACTTTACACAGGCTACTGTTTGGCCGTAGCCCACGCCAAATAAATGAAAGATAACCCACAAGCCAATCGTGACCTTCTCTTGTGAAGCCCAGACGTAAAAAGAGAGAGAACAAAGGCTAAACCTGGTCTTAACTTCCAATGCTCCATCCCCCTGCCCAACCCCCCTCCACGCCACTCCGCCAACCGCCAGGATGCCCGGCATCAGAACATTCCAGGCATTCCCGTGATTGGCAGATAGCAGGTTGATTGACATGTCGGACCCCGCGAACACTGGGTACTGGTAGGTACAACACAACCATCTACTAGCCTAACACATAACACACAGCTGTCTGTGCGGGTCGCTACAGTATGATATGACAGTATAATGAATCCAATTACAATTCAGTATGCTGACACATATGAATATTACAATTATGTTCTTTAATGCAGGGCTGACAGACAAGTTCCTTACTTTTTCCCCCTTCCTCTTCCATTTTTGCGGTAATGTTGCAATTATTTGGTTGTCATTTTGTGTAGAGCAGACCTTTCCATGTTTTTCTTAGCTGCATGTGCGACATAACTCCACCAGTCTTACCTGTGATATCATTTACGAAGATTATACCTTTTTTTTTTTTTTTTTTATAAAAAAATAATGTTTTTTTTAATCAATTAGTATATTTCAGTTTAACCACAATATTTGTTGCATTATTTGTTCTGTCGTTTCTGGAGGATTAAATTGAAATTGCAACCAACTTTCTATGGCTTGTTTTAGAAATTGTGATATTTCGGAGATTATTTCAAATAACTGAAAGTGTGAGGTTGTAATCATTATAAAGGGGAAAAGGCCATTCTTGAACATGGGGTGAGACAATCAGTTCGGATTTAAGTATAACTTTTGCATGACTGAAGCTTTTAGTGATAGGTTTCCGTTAAAAATACTGAACTAACTTTTAGTGATTGTCTTGTCTAGCTGTCAATCAACCCCCCCTCCCTCCTCAGTCCTAGCAAAATGGCGACGGTTGATGACTGCGATGTGACCATGGATCCTGAAATGGAAATACTCAGCGACGAGGAAATGGAGAGGTTCGTTGTGGAAAATGTATAACAAATGTTACACATTAGATTTAAGAGTGTTCTCGTGCCATTGTCATGTTATTATAATATTGGTCTGGCTAGTGTTGGTTTGCTTTTGCTTTGAGTCACACGGGAAGTAGGCCTTGCTAACCGGTTAGCTAACTAATGTTAGCTATTTTTCTCTTTTTGAAAAATCCATACGAACAAAGATAAAGTGGACTTTATCTGTTGTGTTAATGTTACCTAGCCAACAAAGTTAGTCACAGTTTGTGACAGTTTGCATCGACGTGTGTTATGGCTAGCTAACGTTAGCTTGCTAAAGTACTAGCTAGTTGGCTAACTAACGTTAGCTAAGTAGCTAGCTATTTGGGTCGCAAAGCCTATTGTTTTTGTTCTATAATTTTATACAAATGTATTTAGCTAACTAGTTATTTCGCTAGCTAACGTAGATAACTGTTGTTAGTACTATTGCCATGTACCCACGCACGAGCCAGAAAAGTCCCCAAAGTCTAGCCCCACTCCGCCCACTGATTGTCCTCGCAGTGACGTTATATGACCTGAACGATTTAGCAACAGCTGTAAGTTAGGCTTTGCATGAGGTAACTTACTATTGTCTGACATGGTCTTGTTAGTATGCCTGAAGGGTGATCAACTTTTATTTACTGTAATGTTATCCGAGGTTGTCAACTAGGCCTAGCTAGACGAGGTTGTCAACTAGGCCTAGCCAGATCCATATATTAATGACTCTGAGCCTAGCTAATGTATGCCCACCCCTAGTATTTATGTCATAACTTTCCTCTTGGCAACAGTGGGGGCCACAAGTTAAACAACCAACTAATTTGTTATGATCAGGTCATACAGGGGTAACTGCCTTGTTTCCTCAAGAACATGAAACATTACAAGGGCAAGGCATTGACTTGGAAAATTGCATTTATTTTCAATTTTGTTTATTTGTCTGCTTTCTTGCTCTGATTGTGATCTGAACTGAAACATTGCGAAGCTTCCAAAAAAAGCTATGGCAGTTGCCCTCTCCCTGGCTTGTCTTGCCATGTGCTCCCTGGTGATCTGCCTCTGTGTATTTCCCACTGAGCTCAGATAGCTGCTCTGTTTGTGAGCTCTACCCATAAAATACCCACGTGGCCACTACCTCTCGGGTCCTCTATTTCCATTGGATGAGACCCCTCACTGCCTGCTGGTATGGCTCTTTCTATGTTTAGATGATTTTGCACAGCTCCTTCCCCCTCCTCTCCCACCAGCAAACCAAGGTTAACTCTTCCAGCATACATGTTTGGAAACTGCAATAGCAGTGTTCAGGAAGCAATCTGATAGGCTATATCCTAGACCTAGATTAGCCCTGGTCTACCACCAGAGTGAATTATGATTTAAAGAAGACCTTTCATCCTATTATTGTCAGTTGTGTTTTGCTTGTCAGCGGTTACGTATAATATGCAGTATCATGTAATAACCTACCTCCTTGCAGTCTGCGATACGGGCTGGGATGAAGTCATTGATTACTCGCCAATGCACCTCGAGGTTTTCCTCTAAGTCCCTTTTCACATTTACTTGGTCTATTTTGTTTCTCTGTGGATGATACAGTACGCCCTGTTAGTGATGGGCATTTGACCTTTTTTGACTGTTCGAGAACGCACGTGATATTTTTCTGAGTACAGTAATCATAATTGCTACATTTGCCTCATTATTCAGTCAATAAAATAAAAAAACAAGTGCCATTTAAGAAGTATTTATTGAAACTGTAATATCAACTGGTTATATTATATCGTGGAACTCAATCTTCAAAAAGGTAGTAACCTCAGCTCTGTGGTGCTTGCGTGTAGAAGCCTATGGCTGTGCAATGGCATAGCCTTGTTTTGTTAATTTAGAAGACAAGACGCTATTATTTTCTGAGCCCTTATCACAGTGAAGACACCTATTTTATAGTAAAAAAACATTATGTAATATAACAGAATAAAATGGAACAGAATAGTGCAAAGTGATTTGCATCTTGCATCTGGAACCGTTATTCTCAGTAATAATTTGACACAGGGTGCAATTTGGCAAGTTGAAAAACATTTTTCAGAGTTACAAAACAAAATCGTTCTACTTTTAGTTTATTATGCCTGTTCCTTGGAATTTTCCAAATGGATTAACAATGCTACGTTGAACACTGCATGGGGATGAATTTTGGCCATGGCATCTGTTTGGTGAGTAGGCCTAGGCTTAATGATTCTGATTAAAATATGCTCTTTGTCTTAATCAAACTAATGTTTTAGCATATTTTCAGTGTGGAACCTTTCTATGTTTAGGGGGGGTAATAGCCTAGCCTAACCACTTCTAATTGCAAAGTAGGGTCATCACTAACGTTAGTTACCACAGCCACAAAGTCATAAACCCTGCCAGATTTTTAGGGAGTCGATCAGCTTTAATATTGCAGATTGTAGCTTCCATCAATGTAATTATCTGCAACATTTCCAATCCCCCATATTTAAAAAAATATATATATATATTTTACTTTATTTTCACCTAACCCTACCACCCCTCCCCTAATTGGAGTAAACTAATGGAAAACAACACTTGGGCTTCTACTTCCAGCTTGCACATACTATATACACTACTGTTAAAAAATTGATCAGAAATAAAATGTAGACATTGTTAATGTTGTAAATGGCTATTGTAGCTGGAAAAGGCAGATTTTTAATGGAATATCTACATAGGCGTACAGAGGCCCATTATCAGCAACCATCAGTCCTGTTCCAATGGCACGTTGTCTTTGCTAATCCAAGTTGATCATTTTAAAAGGCTAATTGATCATTAGAAAACCCTTTTTCAATTGTTAGCACAGCTGAAAACTGTTGTGCTGGTCCTCTGTAGCTCAGCTGGTAGAGCACGGCGCTTGTAACGCCAAGGTTGTGGGTTCGATCCCCGGGACCACCCATACACAAATAAATGTATGCATGCATGACTGTAAGTCGCTTTGGATAAAAGCGTCTGCTAAATGGCATATTATATTATTTAAAGAATCAATAAAACTGGCCTTCTTGAGACTAGTTGAGTATCTGGAGCATCAGCAATTGTGGGTTCGATTACAGGCTCAAAATGGCCAGAAACAAATAACTTTCTTCTGAAACTCATCAGTCTATTCTTGTTCTGAGAAATGAAGGCTATTCCATGTGAGAAATTGCCAAGAAACTGAAGATCTTGTACAATGCTGTGTACTACTCCCTTCACAGAACAGCGCAAACTGGCTCTAACCAGAATAGAAAGACAGGCCAATAAAAGTAAAAGATTAAGATGGGCAGTCTGAGATATGGCTTTTTCTTTGCAACTCTGCCTAGAAGGTCAGCATCCCGGAGTCGCCTCTTCACTGTTGACGTTGAGACTGGTGTTTTGCAGGTACTATTTAATGAAGCTGCCAGTTGAGGACCTGTGAGGCGCCTGTTTCTCAAACTAGACACTAATGTATTTGTCCTCTTGCTCAGTTGTGCACCGGGGCCTCCCACTCCTCTTTCTATTCTGGTTAGAGCCGGTTTGCGCTGTTCTGTTAAGGGAGTAGTACACAGCGTTGTACGAGATCTTCAGTTTCTTGGCAATTTCTAAGTTTTGAATCCGACATCGTTTTGCGTATCAGTTCATACACCATGTGCCATGTAATTGGTACATCGCAAATCTCTTCCCAACTATTTTGCTATCTATTATGGCACAGCTGTAAATTTTTGGGTCCTTAAGTGAAACTGGTATACTTTTTTATTTATCGCAATTTTAGGTGTTTAATGCAGGGCCGAAAGACACGTTCCTTACTTTTTCCCCCTTCCACTTGCCTCTTCCGTTTTTGCGGTAATGCTGCAATTAGTTGGTTGTAATTTTGGTTAGAGCAGACATTTCATATATTTTTGCCAGCTGCATGTGTGACAACTCCACCAGTCCTATTTATGATGTAATTGACATAAATTTGCCATTTTTTAAAACTCAATTAGTATATTTGAGTTTAACCATTAATATATGTTCTGTCTTTTCTGGTGGATTAAACTGAAATTGCAACCAACTTTCTATGGCTTGTTTTGATAATAAATTAGATTATTTCATTTTCAAATAACTGAAAGTGAGAATAAAGGGAAAAGGCCACACTGTTAACGGTATGCCTAACTGTTAAGACCAAATAGCTCATTTGTATTTTTATGATATAGCCAATTTTGACTTTGTGGCTGTGACAAAGTAGCCTAAGCGGGAAATGATGCAATTATTCCAAAACACGTGTGTAGAGGGAGCGGTCGGAACGCAATTGAGTGAGCGAGACACGGAGGGGAAAGGGAATTTAGGGAGCAGAACTGTGTGATGCTTGGCTTGGTAAACATTTTTGTTGTACAAATGGAACACTAGAGTCAAAGCAAATTAACGTTGTCTTCAAGACGAAATTGACCAAATAGTTCTACAGTATTTTAATTTTTTTTTATCTCTGGTTAAAGATCGAGTTTTGATGTCAGTTTGAGAACTCGATTAGTCATGCCCATCCCTACACCCTGTCATTATGCAATTTCACTCTGAACTCTCTCTTGGGTAATGCCTCATTCTCAAGCTCTTTCTTTGTCTTTTATTTCTCTGTGTGTCATCCAGGGAAGCGGAGAGCTTCAAGGAGCAAGGTAATGCCTACTACATCAAGAAGGATTACTCTGAAGCATTCATCTACTACACCAAGGCCATAGGTAAGGATTCCATCAGTGATATCAACTGCAAAGGATATCTTCTTTATAGAGAGGGGGAACATGTTTGTTTTCTGTGGGTGAGAGGATAATCTATTCTTGTTAACGATGGTGAGTGATTTTTCACTGTGTTCTCGACAGACATGTGTCCTAAGAATGCCAGTTACTATGGAAACCGGGCGGCCACGCTGATGATGCTGAGCCGGCACAGAGAGGCGCTGGAGGACTCCCAGCAGGCAGTGCGGCTCGACGACACTTTCATGAAGGTAGGGTCAACCACCAGACGTAGCACCACCTTGAGTAGCAAGCCTTGAATACCCAGCCTGTACCTAGGCAGACAAGTTAGTCAGACCTTCCGTTTTGTCTCATCTCATAATACAAGAATACATTTGGCAGTTGGATGAGTACAACAGTAAGGTAATGGAAAGATCTGAGTCATGGTTTTTGGGTGGGTCTCCTCCCTCTCCCTGCCTGTGTCAGTGTTCCAGCCTGTTAACTGTGAGTCAACTTTCCCAAAGGGTCATCTACGGGAGGGGAAGTGCCACTTGTCCCTGGGCAACGCCATGGCAGCCAGCCGCTGTTTCCACAGGGTTCTAGAACTGGAGCCTGACAACAGCCAGGCACAGCAGGAGGTGGGTCAGACAGACACAGTCTCAGTCTGGCAGACTAGGTCCTAACAGCAATGCATTGTAAAGAGCTAATTGCTTTACAGTAATTGAAATCCTTTGTTAACTGTGACAGATATTCCATGAGTTTTGCTTAGAATGAGGAAAACATCAGGCAGCAGCTTCCTTATATAAAAGCATAAGTTTGACTTATGTTTGGATCTATTTCCAGGTAAAGAATGCAGATTCTGTCCTGGAGTATGAAAAGATGGCTGAAATAGGATTTGAAAAGCGTGACTTCAGGATGGTAGGCTCTTGGCTGCATGTTGTCTTTTATCAAACAAATTGTTATCCTTATTTGGGGGAATGGGCAGATTGGTGCTAGATTTGATATGACAGTGTTTCTCTCTCTGGACTGTGCAGGTTGTGTTCTGCATGGACCGTGCCCTGGAGTCAGCCTCAGCCTGCCATCGGTTCAAGGTGCTGAAAGCAGAGTGTCTGGCCATGCTGGGGCGCTACCCAGAGGCCCAGTCGGTAGCCAGGTATACAAGACATTGTTGGAACCTGGAAAACCATTCAATAAAGGCAATTTCCCTAGCTGATGCACACCATTGGAAATGCATGTTGTCATATAAGACTTGTTTCTTTATCTTCCTCTCTCAGTGATATCCTGCGGATGGACTCTACTAATGGCGATGCCCTGTACGTCCGTGGTCTCTGTCTGTACTATGAGGACTGTATTGACAAGGCCGTCCAGTTCTTTGTCCAGGCCCTGCGCATGGCCCCTGACCATGAGAAGGCTCGCCTGGCCTGCAGAGTGAGTCCTCCATCCACCTTCCACCAGGACTCTAGCCCTGCAATTAGACTCAACTAACCTGCCCAATAATGATGCTAATGTGGAGTAATTGCCTCCATCCTTTCCTTTGTAAGAGGAAGCCACAGAACACTATAACCAATTCTGTCTCCACTACTGGCTTGCTGACACATTAAGTTTGCAGAGGTTGCTAAGTGCTGTCTCTTTTCCACCCAGAATGCCAAAGCACTCAAAGCCAAGAAGGAGGATGGGAACAAGGCCTTCAAGGATGGGAACTATGATGCGGCCTACGAGCTGTACTCTGAGGCCCTGACCATAGACCCCAACAACATCAAAACCAATGCTAAGCTCTTCTGTAACAGGGGCACCGTGGGATCTAAGGTGAGGCTCAAACACACAGCACCAGGAGGAGAACCCCTCTTATCTGACATACCTTGTTATCTTGTCTTATGCAGCCACAGTGTTTCTGCCATCTTGGTCCCCAGTTCCCTTCGGCCAAATATTATCTTAGATCGTCTTCATTAAAAGGCTCTCTGTAAGCTTGCAAATGAGGTATTGCTGTGTTTGATTATACTGTGGTTGTTTGGCCTTTTCAGCCAGGCAGCTGATATTTGATACCTGTAGGGCCCTATAAAATCAGCATTTTTTTCTTGCCTTATTCCGTCGTTTTCCAAAATTCAGTTTTTCCAGGGTTCAGTTTTTGCTCTCCAAATCACTTTATATATAGATATAGATAGATAGATAGATAGATATAATATTATTTTCAGGAGACTACTTTTGAGGTCTGGGAAAAATCTAAGAAATTTAGATTTTTGGGTGTAGTTACCCTTTAATTCAACTGTGCACAAGTTAGGGACTCATGTGATTGCAGAGTATGCTAAACAAATGGCTACTGGATTGCTGCAAATAATCCATTATATCATTCTGCCAGGTAGGCTGGCATAAGCTACTTTGTAGTAAATGTTTAATTGAAGGTTTTTGGGAAAGCCTTTCCATCTACCAGAAGATCATCGCTAACGGCTACACAGTGGTAGACAAACACGCACATACAGACGGGCATTCCTGTGCCGTGGCCGATTTAAGAAAGTTGAAATAAAATCAGAATCACCTGATGCATGTTTTATAATAATCTTGGACAAATTAATGCATTTTCTATTAAGTTCAATATATTTTAGAATGTTGTTGAATTCTGTTTTAATGTCTGGATTCCGTGATTCCATCCGCAACACATATTTTATAGGGCCTTCTATCTGTATAACTCTGCTCAAAATGTCTCCTGGCAGCATGTAGCTTGTGAGATTGTAAATCCTCCAGGAAGTCACTCATATGGACCAATGTAGCGCTACTGTATTGGCTGTGAAGGTGGCCTTCTGCATGGGCATTTGCATTCTCTCTCTCTCACACGTGCACACACACTCTCCAATGCACAGATGCCTGCCTCACACTCACACACCTCTCATTCAGTGAGGCCCCTCTTACTGTGTATTTTTAGCAGTGCTCTGCACTTTGCTTCATTTTCTCTATCTATTACTAGGCCAGCATCTCTCCTCTTTTTTTTCCCTCTTTTTTTTCTGTCACACGCTACCTTACACATTCCCCAGTCCCCTTACTCTTTTCTCTTTTATTTCCGTTTTTTTTCCTTTCAAAGCTGAAAAAAATAGACCAGGCCATTGAAGACTGCACAAAGGCAATTAAGCTGGATGAGACCTACATCAAGGCCTATTTACGGAGAGCGCAGTGGTACGTCAATCAACCTTAGTTTCCTAACAATATGTTCATAGTGGTTATTTGAGCATGCAAGAATATGTAAGATAAATAGTTTATTATATGGAGATTAATTTGATTGGATATGCTTATGATCCCTAAAGCTTGTTTCTATATCTCTGTGTGTTCAGTTACTTGGACAAGGAGGAGTACGATGAGGCTGTGAGGGATTATGAGAAGGTCTACCAGACGGAGAAAACAAAAGGTATGTCTGTGTCTCATTAGTGTGACTCAACCACCCCTCTCTCCATCCCAGCAACCACACTACCTCTCTGTCTGGGTCCTGTTGCTTCACACTCCTGTTTCCCCCCACACCCTGTTATGACACAATGTCTGAGGTGTTTGTCTCTGAGGGCTGGAATTAGAGTATAGCTCCTCCTGCTGCTACGGTGCCCAAACTGCTCTTGGTTATTAATACTATCGGTGTCGTCTCACTCTGAACTCCTTTCCTTAGAACACAAGCACCTCTTGAAGAATGCACAGTTGGAGCTGAAGAAGAGCAAGCGGAAAGATTACTACAAGGTGCTGGGAGTGGACAAGAACGCCACAGAGGACGAGATCAAGAAGGCTTATCGCAAACGGGCCCTCATGCACCATCCAGGTAGCTAAGAGAGCCCATCTCTGTTCAACTATCCAGTCTATTTTACTGTTATAATATAAGCAATATGTCAGGAGGTGTATTTCAATGCAAAGGGAAAACAAAACATTTAACTCAGTCTCTCTGTGCTCCTGTACTTTTCTTCTCTAATTTCCCCTGACTGATGGCCCTGGTCGCTCTCTCTCGCTCTCTCTCTCGCGTGCTCTCTCACTCTCTCTCACTCTCTCTCGCTCTCAGACCGTCACAGCTCGGCCAGTGCTGAGGTTCAGAAGGAAGAGGAGAAGAAGTTTAAGGAGGTGGGCGAGGCATTCACCGTGCTGTCTGACCCTAAGAAGAAATCCCGCTATGACAGTGGTCACGATCTGGAGGACGACACAGGCAACATGGGAGGTGAGGACTGGAGATGAGCAGGGGAACCCCTTTCAAGGGAGGGCGTGGGGAGGATGGAAAGTAGAGGGGCTGCTTTAGGGACATTTCCGAGATTTTTTAAAATCCTAGGCTGTTTTAAAGCTGTAATCCGTTATTGGATGAAACTACCACGTCAGTTTGTGAAATTACCACAACAAAGAAGTTACATCAAACGCATCAGTTCACGCACGATAGAGCAGAATATCTACTGCGATGTATTATTATTTTACCACGATGCTGGCTGCTCCTCTGCTCTGTTTCATCAACAAAACAACAACAAAGGTGCTGGGGTGAAAATTATTTCAGCTTTAACAGGTGCTAAATTACTCTCACTATTACTTGACTTGACTTGATTAAAACACCAACTGGGTTCAGACATTTTATATTTCAGAGCTGTAAACGGGTGTTTACCACATTCATTTTACAGTTAGTTTTGTGAGATTGTACTGGCTGTTTCCCTCAGTTGTGATGTTGATCCTCATGTGTTTCTGTCCCCAGCAGATTTTGATGCCAACAACATTTTCAAGGCTTTCTTTGGTGGTGGAGGCGGCCAGGGCTATAGTTTCGAAGCTAATCAATGTATGTATACAAACAGCTGTAGGAAACAACAGTACTTTTTCAACTTTTTATGATTTAACAAATAATAAATTCAGCATATTTCAGATTCTGTTTAACAATTGACACTTTTTTTGTTTAATGTTGCAGCATCCGGACCAGGAAATTTTTTCTTCCAGTTTGGTTAATTGGAGGATAAAAGTACTTATACAGTAGCTCAATCATGGACTCTATTCAAATGGATTCACCCCCCCAACTCCACCCTCATTTTAATTTGTCTGGCTGTTTCTCAGTTGGCCTCTGTCATTACCTGAACGAATAACGCTATCAAATCACATCATGCAACAAACAAATGACTCAAGGATCCATAGAAGACTAATACTATTTGGATATTTGATTTAATTTTGTCAAACAATAAAAACACTGAAATTCGATTTGTATAAAAAGAACGTTGGCCCATAAAAGTATGAATCATAATGGAACTTTGAAACAGGACTGTGCAGATATCTGGCCTTCTGAAGGCTCAGGCCAAGATGTGACTTCAAGATGGGGAAATCTGAGAAAACCCTGGGGACCTACAAACCTCCTTTATCCGCCTACACTTGACCTACTGTCCAAGCAGTATTCAAAGCATGCATATCTTGCCCAGTATTTAATGGTGCAAAATACCATGGGCAACTGAACAACTTGCATGTTGTGGGCAGCCTACTTCTATACCCAACAACCAAAAGATGACTTAGCAGCTGTGGATGATTGCTTAATGAAAGTGGTCTCCATTTCATCATGTTATATGAACAGTTAAACTCGCATTTTATTTTCCATAACAGCCTGGGGTAAATAGAGTTACATCCATAAACTACTGCTTAAGTACAGTCAGAAGATGACTATAGATGGCTGTGCTGGTGTACTATGCCAGGCCGGTTGCCATCGTGTGGTCAGCTTCCTCACCACAGGTTTTATGTTCGATGTTGCCATTCACCGGTTGCTGCATTGTACATTTTACTGAAATGTAAAGTGTTCATTTGTGTTCATAGTTTGACTGTTTTCTTTTTATGTATATTTATTGTAAATTGGCTCTCTCATAGAGCCACTACCAGGAGATGAGGATGCTCCTCTATTATGGAAAAGACTGAAAAGGGGCACCAAGGAACAACATCCTTTTGGCACAAACTCAGGAAATGAATTTGGTTGTGCTTGCCATATATCAGATACTGTGTAGACGTTTATATATTTTACTGCCTGTGTACCCTAGTATGCTGAACGCAAGCCACCGCTCAGTCAACCAGTACAGTAAGTACCATCTCACTCACTGCACACAAATGATGTATACAGTCTATGATTGGGGTTATCTAGAATGTGTCTAGGCAAATTGTCAAATGAGTTAACATCTTATTTTGCCCATGCTGTTTAAAAGTATACCACAGGATAATGTATAGGTTGTCTATGGGCTATGACCCTAGCAGTATTCAACTATTCAGTTCCACTGCCCTGTTTAAATTGTGCAGCTAATATAAAAAAAGAGCTTATCATACAATTGCTATGACATTATGGATGGTAGAGGTTTAGATTTCTATTTATTTAAGATCTCTTGGTGCACTCATGAAGCCCTCAACAGTCTTGACTATGGAGTCTTTATCCAACAGCCATGTAAATAAAGTAGGCCTCTCCTTGTTTCCCCCTTCAATTGTCCCTTTTGTCAATGTTTGTATTGCATTTTTATTTTATTTCCTTTGGCCTTGTTCTTTTCCAGGTGTACCCCAAGCTCAAAGAAAGTGCTAAGAACTAAATATTTTGGGATGCAAGACACTTATTTTTTGTGGTGTTTTGGAGAGATGGCAGGTGGTGATTTGCATATATTTAACTGTTTGGCGGTAATAAGATTAAAGCAATCAACAGTCAATCACCCTTTTCATCTGTTTCTAGTCCAGACAGGGCCGCTCTCTAAATGACCTGACGGTTTTCACTAGATAGCACAGCCACAAAGTAAAATTTGGATATATTGTAAAAATTCATGAAAACAAACATTTGCATTTTGGTCTTCAGAGTTAGTCATAAGATTAACAGTGTGGCTAAGGTTAGGTTTAAAATCACATTTAAAGAAGATAAATTGTGGTGGAAATGGGCGGGCTTGATGTCTTTCTGGCTGTGGTAACTAGTGACGACATAGAATGACCCCCCCCCCCGGAGAGACTTGTTAGGCTGATTGCTAGGATACCACTGATGGGACTTTGTTGAAACTAGACGAATGCAATTGCTTGCTAGCATAGCATTGGATGTTTTTTTATTGCAAAAATGTATGACAATGAAGGAGACAAAAGACCCAAAAGTACATTTTCTACTTGCATGGCCGAGGGGGAGCAGTTGTACCACAAAGGAGAGTATGTCAAAGCCATTGAAAGCTACTCTAAGGTACGGCTTTACTCTGGGTGTTGGTAACTAGCAGCATTTTCGGCAGTTACGTTAGCTAACAGTGGGAGAGAGGATTGGCAGCAGGAAGAGTTGCAGGGAGGACTAATGTGTTGCTTCGTTCGTAACCAAGTGTTAAATGGGAATTTACCACATACGACTGCAAAAAATTCACTTGAACAGCCCTCCAACTGGTAGCGAACTTAATTATACTAGTGGGGAAACTCGTCTATCACATCCTGAGTTCTGGCCCCCACGTCACCTATGAAAATGACCTCGATAACAGCATTTTCGGCAGTTGAATGCAACAACAAATCATTCTTTATAAAAATCAATCTATTAATGTTTTTTTAAACCCTATAATGTGTTTACAAGCATGATAACTGTACTTTTAGTTCATGGTTTACGCAGGTTGTTGAGTGGTTATAACGTGGATATAACGCGAATGTCTACCTAGGAACCCAAAGGTTGCATGTTCAAACCTCATCACTGAATACTTTCCAAATGCACTGTATATTAGCAAATACTTTAGCTACCATTTGTGTTTTTTGTCATTGAAATTCACAGGAGAATGTCACAAGCAGTTCACATTTGCTTGCATGATGAGGATACAGTGGCTTGCATTTTTCCTATTTTGTTGCCTTACAACCTGGAATTAAAATTGATTTTGGGGAGGGGAGGGGAGGGGGGGGGGGGGGGTTGTATCATTTGATTTACACAACATGCCTACCACTTTGAAGATACAAAATATTTTTCCCTTGTGAAACAAACAAGAAATAAGACAAAGAAACAACTTGAGCATGCATAACTATTCAACCCCTCCCCCTCTATAAGCTTGGCACATCTAGCCACTGGTATTTTTGCCCATTCTTCAAGGCAAAACTGCTCCAGCTCCTTCAAGTTGGATGGGTTCCGCTGGTGTACAGCAATCTTTAAGTCATACCACAGATTCTCAATTGGATTGAGGTCTGGGCTTTGACTAGGCCATTCCAAGATTTAAATGATTCCCCTTAAACCACTCGAGTGTTGCTTTAGCAGTATGCTTAGGGTCATTGTCCTGCTGGAAGGTGAACCTCCGTCCCAGTCTCAAATCCCTGGAAAACTGAAACAGGTTTCCCTCATGAATTTTCCCTTTATTTAGCGCCATCCATCATTCCTTCAATTCTGACCAGTTTCCCAGTCCCTGCCGATGAAACACATCCCCACAGCATGATGCTGGTGTTCTCGGGGTGATGAGAGGTGTTGGGTTTGTGCCAGACATAGCGTTTTCCTTGACGGCCAAAAAGCTCAATTTGAGTCTCGCTTGACAAGAGTACCTTCTTCCATATGTTTGGGGAGTCTCCCACATGCCTTTTGGCGAACACCAAACGTGTTTGCTTATTTTTTTCTTTAAGCATTGGCTTTTTTCTGGACACTCTTCCGTAAAGCCCAGCTCTGTGGAGTGTACGGCTTAAAGTGGTCCTATGGACAGATACTCCAATCTCCGCTGTGGAGCTTTGCAGCTCCTTCGGGGTTATCTTTGGTCTCTTTGATGCCTCTCTGATTAATGTCCTCCTTGCCTGGTCCGTGAGTTTTGGTGGGCGGCCCTCTCTTGGCAGGTTTGTTGTGGTGCCATATTCTTTCCATTTTTTAATAATGGATTTAATGGTGCTCCATGGGATGTTCAAAGTTTTTGATATTTTTTTTATAACCCAACCCTGATCTGTACTTCTCCACAACTTTGTCCCTGACCTGTTTGGAGAGCTCCTTGGTCTTCATGGTGCCCCTTGCTTAGTGGTGTTGCACACTCTGGGGCCTTTCAGAACAGGTGTATATATACAGAGATCATGTGACACAGATTGCACACAGGTGGACTTTATTTAACTAATTATGTGACTTCTGAAGGTAATTGGTTGCACCAGATCTTATTTAGGGGCGTCATAGCAAAGGGGGTGAATATATATGCAGGCACCACTTTTCCGTTATTTATTTTTTAGAATTTTCTGAAACAAGTTATTTTTTGCATTTCACTTCACCAATTTGGACTATTTTGTGTATGTCCATTACATGAAACCCAAATAAAAATCAATTTAAATTACAGGTTTTAATGCAACAAAATAGGAAAAACGCCAAGGGGGATGAATACTTTTGTTTATGCTAAGCAAATGTGAACTGATGGGCCATCAGTGCGGAATAGGCTAGACTAGAATGGTATAGAACAGAATAGCATTGATTAGAATAGAATAGAGAAGGATTAGCTGGTGTGTTCATAATTTGTCTTTCATTTCTAAATTAATACTGGAAATCTTAAATACTCTGGCTTTAATAATAATAAAAAAAAGGATCTTCCCTGGAATCTGTTGAGAGGTAAGGAGGCACATTAACTTGTGGTAAGTTGTTTGTAGTGTAGAAAAAAAGGACTTTGAATACCACTTGTGCAGTAGGCACTCAAATGTCTTCCAATAAATATATATTATTCATTAGTGAGAAGAAATGTATAGACTGACAACTCGTGAATTGTTGAGGAAATTCAGTGTAGCCGATAGACTGACATTTCGACTGAATAAGGTTGAACTGCATGCTGTTTAATTTGTGTAAAAAAAAAACTGTTTGATTCAAATTTCAGCATTTTAGTCAAGGCTTTGTGCGTTCTGGACAAGTCTCTGCGCCTCTCGAGCGCTCTGGAAAGACGATAACTTTCATTTGCTGCGCTTGCAACGCATGCGCCTCGCAGCGTACGTCATCGCACAGGAACGCTGCGCTCTCGTTCGAGAAATGTCTAGAAATCATGAGGGATATTTTTTAGGCAATGGGGATAGTATATATTTTGGTGAAGTTCATTCCGTTTCAAACATCGACTCAACGAGAATACTAAAGGGAAAAGAAAGCAAGGAAAGAGAAGAGCCACTATCAACAGACCTCTACATTTATAAACTGTAAGTAACTCAGGCTGTGACAGTTAAACTTTATAGAAATATAAAATTATGCTATGTTGGTTGTGTCGACATAGCCGATTTAGCTATAACATTATGCCATAATATTTGGTTTACTAATAAATAAATAATATTATAAAGATATATTATAATAGTCATCCATTTATTATGTTATTTCATTGGACTGACTAGGCCTATATTCACCATGTTTTCTAGCATATTATTATTTTATTATATTTTAGTTCTTTATTCGTTGTAAGAAAATCAGCTCTAATTCTTTGAAGATAACACAATATTATTCAGGAGGGTTCATAGAAAAAATGTAGGCCTGTTGTAAAAATAGTTTCTCTGTAATAGATTAGCTGAAATGATTGTGTCTGCCATTGTTTTTGTTAAACCCCAATGAAGATCTGCCTGGCCAGTATTAGTGTATAACACTAATATATATATATATATATATATATATATATATATATATATATATATATATATATATATATATAATCTCATTAATAAATAACACAAACAATGACAACAGTGTTGTTATAAGACCTGGGTTCAAATGCTTATTATTGAATTTCAATGATTTTCAAAAACCG